GCCCAATCAAAGTTGCGTTTTCGACCCGTCCCTCCCGCCCAGCTCTCGTACTACCACTTTACTCTAATCCCTCTCCTTTACAACTGCTGATGTTTTTTATTTCTTCAATGCTGGCGGAGTAAGAAGTTTGCTGGATGTGCGGACGATTTGTTACCTTTCATTGAACTGCTTAACTAATATCTTTCTAAATTGTGATTTTTGTATTTTATGGTGGTTAGTTGGTAATATTTTTTTGTGCCCGTCTTCCTAAATCCTTGTTTTTTTTTTTTTCTGTTTTAGATGCCGTCAATTGATTCGAAATGAAATTGGGCCTCCGGAAATCCGTTCATGAAGAGTCTTTCTACTCCTATCATCTCCACTCCAATGATCCCCGCCATTGCAATATCAGCGATGTTACTGACTCGATGTCGTTTTCTAAATTTTGTTTTTCGAGTTCACCTTTAATTTTTTTTCATCCCATAGACCCTGTGTATGAGAAAAACGATTTTCGAACCACATTTCTCCTCATATGCTTTCTGGCTCCCTCTCAAATACTGCTGTACAATTCGCTCATGTGTCGCCCTACTTTCCTCTTCCTCCTCTGCTAGTTACACTTCCTTGTGCTTGTGGCTGTGCTAATGCAAGCAGAACGCGCCTTCTCCCGTCCTGAATGACCCTCATGCATTGGCATTGAGCAGCGTTTCAGAAGAGCCACCTCTCGAGTAATAAGCATTCTATTAACAAAGTTTCATGTTGTTAATTGTTGGGACAACTGATCTGCTTGGTGCACTGCCCATGCATTTGAAAATGAAGCCATTGCTTTTTAACATGGATATTTTTATTGAAGTGGACGATTTGTGGTTCGTTTAGATGCTAGTAATGTGTCTAGGTTGTAAAACAACCAAGTTTGTTATATGCCGTCGTGGACAAAGCCGGATTGTGTGTGGCTCTCCTAGACTCCTCGGGTTCTCAGCTTCCTCTGCACACACTACTGCAACGTTATCTTGGAAACTTTTATCAGGTCTCAGTGCTCTGTCGTCACCCTTGATCAACGGTGGTTCGTAATGCATCCTCACTAATGTGCCTCTTGGTACGTAGGAAGGGCGGTTGTTTTTCTCTATCAAGGTGTAACCATTGATGCTCGTGTTCCTTGGGTCAGTGCCACGTGTAGCAGCAGTCAAAACGTCGGAGTTTTAGCTTACTGCTTAGCGAAGCATGACTGGTCATTATTCCATCACTGCAGCTGATTCATGGCATTAATGCTTGCTGTCTTGGTGACAGCTCTCTAATTAGCTATCGATTTGCTTGAGGTTTCTATGGTGCCTCAGTATTGACGACGGTGGTAGAGTTGGGTAATGATGTCTAATGGGTTGATCGCTCGATGTGATGCGTAGGTATCCAGGGTCTTGTTCTACCGGGTGAAAGTGGTGGCTCAGTGTGTCGGAAAAAACGTGAGGTTTCGACCGTACGTGCCGGTGGCGAGGTCATCTGCGTGACCAACCATGCCACGTAGCGATCTGGCATGTATTTAAAGCGAGTAAAACCAATGTTTTGCATTACAATGCAGCATTTCACATCTCGCGATCTGACTATCGATGTATGTAGGTTTAATTAGTTACTGCTCTTTTGGCTTCCAATCAATTCCTTTTTTACCATATTTGAATAACGACATTTTTATCAGCCTACGCTTCCTGGACATCCTCAGGAGTAGCATTCGAATGCCAATTTGCCTCAGAGGATGGAATGCAACTGGGATTGTGAGCCGCTTTCCCCTAAAAACTACGGGAATGTGATACATTGGCATTCGCAGTAAGCTCGCTCTTCAGGAAATCATCACGAACATGGCTTGCTGTGGTCTAGGCAGGAGAAAGTACGTCACTGACGAAGGCAGGATTTCTCTTTCAGAGTGGCATCAAAACCTTTGAAGTTGTGCTGTGCTAGGGAGAAAACCACCAAGTTGGCGTGAAGAGAATACTGCTAAAATATCAAATTTGAATCTTCTTCCTTACATTGCTTCAGGATATCGACATGCAACATTGATAAACGTTTGTGCCGCCAATTAATTACCAATGATTGAAAAGGTGGAATCGGATCAAGACCGATGTAACTAAGGTTTTCTATTAAAAGTAGTATGATTGGTTCGGTCTAAAGATGGAGGTCCCCTTAAAATCAACGATTTACGAAATGCACTTACCGTGACAGCACAGGCTATGACTACATTTTATCTGCGCAAAAAGGCATATCACATAATGAAGGAGCTATTGACGATTCATTCCAGATTCAGGAATACTTTCCCATGCAGTTAGAGCAGAGAAGAGTGCTCTAGTTTGGCTTTGTTTTAGCTCGTTTTCTGCCTGCTGCTCACTAAAGATCATTGCTTCTGTGGCCGGAAGTTGGCTCAATGGTCGGAAGAGCGCTAACTGATATGCTGACAACCAGTATCGTCGAGTTTTTCGTCTTTTAAATTAAACAGTTGGTCAACACTACTCTTCTGCACATTGACAATTTGCTCTTTTTCGTGCATAAATCTTTGCAGACACTACCAATCATTGTCCTACGGTGGATGCAACAATGTGTATTAATACTGACCTCATTTTCCCGATTTAAACAACCCTTATACCACTTGAATTTCATCATTCAGCATCAGGATGTTGTTGCAAGTGATCAGTAGCAGTTTTACTAAACCCTAAGTCCCCCATCTCCTCTCTAGTGCTTGGTTGCATTACCTAAAAGCCAGCGTCATGGCTTTGAAGATCACATTTTTATAGCCATAATTTTTGTTTACAGTGTTTTACTTCTTCATTTCACTGCTCATATACCCTTCTTAATGTTTCGCATAACAGAATTTGTCACTTATGTTTCGCACTTTTTTCCTCAATTTTTAGATATGCATTTTTACTCACTACAAACAACAATGGAGAGGTTGCCACACACTAAGGCATTACCTACCGTTGATTTTCATATATGACAGTTCACCAGTTGAAAGAGCTTAAGTCGAAAGTATTTATGACCCGACTTAAGGTTATGTAATTTGGTGGCTTTTGCTATTTTTAATCGGCCCTGTCAGCTAGAAGATTTTGTCCGCTAGAGAACCATGCCTCTACAATTTTCATATTTGCATTTTGCTAAAAGTCATAATGCTCACAATTTGTTATGTGAGCCAACAACATTTTTTCATGGTTTTGTTTCGTCTTTCATCTTTTTGCTGAACTCCGGCGGTTTTATAGAGATGCAACAGACTGAATGAATTCCTTTGTCATGATGCTAACAACTGCGAAATAAGTGTAATGAAATATTAGAGTAGTGCTGGTAATTCTTGAATAAATCAACAAAAAAACATTCAGCCTCCAGTTATGTCAGAGTTGAACGTGTAGTTACTATTAGAACCTTTATTTTTATCCTTCAACTGGAACTCTATCAATTTACTTGCAGTTAACCTACATTTATTTTCCGTTACATTTATTTTCTAACTCTTCTTCAAGTCATTTGTTCTTCTATATGTTGTGTTGTCCTCAACCTTGTATCTGTAACTCCCATTCTTTGTTAATGTCTAATATGCGTATCCAGATAAAACGACGGACTGCTGGCCCATTTTACGCAATGTAGTATGGTGAGGTTCATCTTTCCCGCGCAGAGTGTCAATTATTCCCCGTCGCAATGACTTCCTATTAAATTTGGTACAAATGAGCATTCACCATACCCATTTAAATCAAGAATTCTGTACCACTCCTTTGTCTTATTATTTTGAGAAATATAATCCAAGATTCTGGCACTGTTTTAATTAGTGCGCCTCCTATGACACCTCATTTGTTGATTATTTCACCCTTTAGGTGACAAAACAGCCGTGCGCAGCGATGCCAGTTGGAAATGAGTCACACCAAAAGTTAAACATCTCGAGCTCAGATGTCGAAGCTCAGTCGGCGCGCTACGTCATTGGTTTAGATTGTCTGGAGCACCGAACGGAGGGCTGTAACTTTGCAGACACCCTCAGATTGACATTTTACCTCCAAATGCCCGATGCTAACAAACCAGATAGCGGCTTGTGGAAGATACGCTTTCGTTGCAACCTCCACGATACCGCCGAAGATATCAAATTAGTAAGCTGAAGTTTGTCCTTGCGAATGAAAATGTTCTACCCTTATTGTAACACACCTGTGGTGTCGTATACCTGTTTTGGCACTTGCTTGGCTTTGGTGCAAATTAAGTTTCGAAGCGTATCATTTTGGAGGTTTTAGTCTGATAAGCTGCTTTGTGATAGTCTATCGAAGATACTGTCTAGAAAATTTACTTTGTGTGACCTTTCTATTGTTATAAAAATAAATATATGTTTACATAATCATTTATCCTCATTGAGTACTTTAGCCTTTCCCCGTAGTTCGCTTAATTTAATGTGATCTTATTTCATATTTAGTTCGAGGGCCATGGTTTAACTGAAATAAATGAAGAGGTGGAGCGAGCGATAAAGGAGGCTGTGGCAGTGATGCTGCGTGGTCTACAGGCGGATGCGAATTCTATTCCTCTAAATCACGACTACGTCTTCTACCCACAACTCTCACCTGAACTAAAAAACATTTCCGGATGCACCTCACCACCTGTAACTGCGCCGACAAAAACGAAAAATGAGAAGGTCAGCAGGCCCACTTTCGTGCCAGCTGCCGTCGCCAATCCAGCCGCTGCATTTGGTGCTGCTACTTTTTGTTGTGGTTTTTTTCAACCCATCTCACTCTCCCATATTCTCAACTTTTACTTTCTCAAAAGTCAGCTTTGCAACCAATCACGCGGACAATAGTAATTCTCATGCCATTTTCCTCCTTTGATGGTATTTTACTTTGTTTTTTTTTGTCTAGTAAGTAGAGACGTGGACTGCGAAAGACCAACCACTCCGCAGACTGGTGAATGCTCCTTCGTAACATTGGAGGCGCCTTTTTGCACGCATTCACTTCTCGCACAAATCAACACTCACTTGAGGAGAGCACGCCCGTTTCTTGTACTGCCAGAAAACACCCAACATCCTGTAGTGGATTTGTCTATGCTGAGTTCCGGCAGTTCATCAACAAAAATTGGCGATAATGTTACCCTTTCCATTAATATTCGTGAAGGGTTGGTGAATGTATCGAATTCGGCTCATATTTCAAAGAATACTTCACTTACAGAAGCTGGTGTGGTCGCATCTCAACCAAATGGTCAGCAGCAAAATGTAAATTACTATAACCTCTCAAGTGAACCAGTACCGAAAAACAACGCTGGGCACTTTATCCAGGTACCCGCCACTGTTACTCCTCAGACCGGATCCAGATTATCACAAACTCAAAATCAACAGATGTCGATTGAGGTACCTTCATTAATTCATGGTGAATTCCCCACTTCTCTATCGGCAAATCACATTCCTTCGGTCTACTTATCAAACATCTTTGCTAACAACCCTTCTGTGCAGAATTTTCAACATTTGCAGCAACAATATTCGCACTTGGAAATCCCTACCTCAGTATCGGTGTGTGATCAATTGATACGACAGTGTGTAGGTGCTGTACCGTGTAACTGCATGCATACTTGAATGATTCGAATCTTTTGAGAGTTAAAAGATTACTAAAGTGTGTCAGAATATTTTTTTAGCTAACATGGCTTAGATACATGGGGAAAAAGTAATTTACACCTTTGTAGCAGATCAGTATGTACAATTCGTTTTTTTTCTAGATGGCAACACTATCTGCGAATCCGTCACTGCTTCTTGCCACTGCGGCCACGTTGAGCGCAAACAACTCCACAGCACCTCAGCCAACATTGGCTGGTCTGTTAAATCTCCAAACACCGTCAGTGGAATCACCGTGGGGCAACCTGACCTGCTCACCCCCGAATTCATTCCCACCTTCCACCCCCTCCCTTTTGAATACAGACGCACTGAAACAGATTCTTCTGCGTACCGCACTGGAAAGCGCGCACCATCATCAGCAGCAACAACAACAACAACCGCTGCTAACTCCTTGTGCTACAACGGTTCCAGCAAAATTAACTACACCCACTGCTACCCTCAGTGTCCCTGTGCAACCGGGACTTGTTTCCTCCACCAATGTCAATCCTCAAAATATCATATATGAACAAATGATTTGGCCTAATATGCCTACCAAGCTGGTAGTTGTAGTTCCACCGACATTTGTGAGTTTACCCATAAAAGCCATTTGTTTTGCTTTACTTGTCAAGCCATTGATAAGACATTTAAAAAAGGACATTGTAAGTATATTATTGTTAAAAATATTGTTAATTGGAATAAGTATGCTCAATTGTATAACATCTGCATTAATCTTAATCCAAAAAATCTCCATTTATTTACATAATCGCTAGATCCATCAAGGTCAGCCGCTAGCACCACAGCCATCAGTAGCAACGACAGCCGCTGCTTCCTCGGTGGCAATGACAACAGCAGTACCTAGATTTGTGGTAACGCCGGCAGAATCTCTATTATCAATTCATGCACCAAGAGAAAGCATCGTTCCTTCATCGTCAGTGAACCTGCTACCGCCGCCTCCATCACCACCTATTTCAGAACATGACATCACCGTAGGTCATGTTGAGGTACTAACCGAATGTGCTGTATCAAATCCCTTGTTAATGCTCTTCAATTCTGGCTCATG